ATGTATTCTAGTATGGGAAATAAGTTATGATGGTTGAAGGTTATGATTTAGAGGGATTTAAATATGGATATATTTACATAGAGCTATCATGACCACGGGAAGGGGATCTCTATTTGTCGTTCTGTTGCACCATCATGGTGTTTCTTGTGCGTTCATTATCAGCAAAGGCTGGAGTTTTGTCGTGTTCTTTGTGTGGGGCAATGCTCGAGTCGCTTCGGCCAGTCGAGGCAGCCTCTGAATTTGGTAGTGTGGCGTCCACGGTACCCTTTTCGATTTCGTTCACGCTATCGGTATTCTCTTCTACATTCTTTCGTCCGGTGATTCGACACCATAGTTTCTTCCAGGGAAGGATGTTCACCAGGATGTTGATAATCACCACCACGATCCCGACACACCACACTACGGCGAGCCCAATACCAATACCTACTCGAGGAATAGCAGTGACGGCCAGTTTCTCTTTGACGAAGGCGATGAGTGCACCGGAGGTGATCAGCCTGGTAAGCGAGAGGAAGATTTCCAGTGCATCGGCCCCTCGAGTATGATATGGCCGAAGAACGATTAGCGAAACAAGATAGAGGGTTTCCAGGACGATCAGACCAACGACTTGGATGAACCCGTTATGCCTGGCCCCAGACACAAAAGTGGAGCGGAGGAGTGGAGTGAGAAGGGAGATGATAAAGAAGAAGCGGCGTCCAGGGCGATATGGACCAACAAAAGCTCCAACATGATGCCCTTCTATCATCTTCTCTCGTTCTATGCGCTTGTGATCGTCCGCGTCTTCTGAACCTTTCTTCTCGCTCAAGACAAGTTGGACTGCCGTGCGTAGTGGGAAGAATAAGGCAGCGAGAACCCAGAGGAAAGTGAATACTGAGAGAAGAGTACACAACCAGTTATCATGGAGCGACCACTGGAAGAAACACATTACGAAGATGGGCAGGATACATATCTGAAGCTATTGGAAAGTGTCAAAAAATTGTGGTGCAGTTATTGATACTAGTGTACATACGATACGCAGTCCATTGGAAATGATAGTTTGATGATATCCTTGCAAGCACCGGTCTACCCATAGCGATCCTCGCTTCTTCTTGAGGTACTTCAACAGACCGAATACGACACATGCAAGGAACGCAGAGCAGATAAAGAAGAAAAGGACGGTAAAGAATGTGGTCATGAATGCATTTCCCGTTGCGACATTCATATAATTGACAAAGACTGGGATTCCAGGCGCCAGAGTTTCCGAGTCGGAAGTGACGACGGCTGGATTGACAAAAGTATGTCCTGGGGCGACAGGTCGTGTAGACTGGCCTCCCACAAAGTTGCCAATGTCGATCTCCTTGTAATGTCCAGAAGGATCATTGTCGAGGGTAGAGTTATTAGTGGCGAATAGGTTGTAAGGTGATAGAGTACGGTCGCTGTATTCTTGAGGAGATTGCGATGTCTGCGAGAGACTGGAGCCCGTCATGGACCTCATTCTCTCTATAGCCTTTTGTATTGCGGATGATTTGCTGAAGAAGCCAAAGGACCATGCAAAGTTGGTAGTAAATGCGATATAGGCTAGGGGATAATTTAAGCGGAGCATGCCTGTATATACCAAAAAGGTCATTATTTAGATATACCCTCGAAGCGAGTACAACTAACCGGATAATGCGATGTGTTGAAAGTAGCTGAATACGGTAACGGTGCGGAAGACTGCTGGTGATGAGGATGGTCGTCGAAACGAGTAAAAAAGCGAGCCAAGGAGCGAGATGATGGTAAATGCTGCAGTAGTGGCCGAGACTGCAGGAACATGAAGGGTCCAGCCATTCGATAAGGTAGATTGCAGGCAAACTAAGTTGGGACAGAGTGATTAATCAAAGGCTTTTTCACACAAGAGAAAGATCCTCACCTGCCACTTCACCCGTCTCTACTCGTCTCAGTGTCATTTGAGCGACCGCTTCCAGGTCGGGGATCTTGAAAGCGATACCCGGGATTGGAAGTTCAACACTTGATGGGATCGGTATGTATGCGCTCCCTGACAAATATTATGAGTATCAAGAAAGATAAAGCCAACTTTTGAGCCCACCTGTGACACTATATTCGGGTAAAGGGCAGAGTTGGCCTTGGAGAACAGTGCAGAGGTCAAAGGTGTACTATAGAGATAATTCAGTGAAATGTAGAGCAAGCGCAATGATCGCAACATACGTTAAGCGGAGTGAGCCCATAGGCGTTGAGGATGACGTTGGCGGTGGCATTGAGGTCCGATGCACGGTTGGTTGCAGCGAGAGCAAACGCAATGCTCTGATTATTTCTGAAATATTGGATGTCGAATTCCTGGAAAAGAGAAAAAGTTGTCGAGCGGGAACGGTTATTTTTAATAGAGCCCTCGGTGCCTTCGACAAAATTAGCTCATACCTGAACGATCAAAACATCAGGGGAAGCACAATAGGTGATCGACGACGTGACTATTAAAGTTGACGGGGCAAATGTAAGTATTTCGTCTCTTTTCAAACGATCAAGAAGAGAAGGGATGAGTCGAGTGAGCAGCACCGATTGGACCGGGCAGGGCGGTTGGAGGAGTGTTTGATGAACGCACACAGAGAATCTTCGTGAGCCAGACACGACGAAAATAGGGAGAAAATAGCCCAGACGATTAAAGTAGAGACGTGAAGCATTTGTTCATGAGGAGAGTTGCTGACTGACAAACACGCTATTGAGGTGAGGGTCAAGCCGTGCACTGCGGGCGGCTCATCGTCCCATTTAGGCTGAGTTGGCACCCTGGCATCGCTCGCCCAGTCCTCCTTTGTCATCGTTTCGTCCTGCACTCGATATTCTCCTCAACTTTGACAAACCACCCAGATGACTTCATGGCGAGATGTCTATTCTGTCGTACTTGGTCTCGGCATAACAGGGTCAACGGCTTCAACTTTTTTCCCTGGTTGTCATCGGTGACACTCAGGGGCCAGGCCTCTTGCGACCCTCGTCTGGTGGATTTGCAGTGCGGAGATTTGTTACTATCCTCGCTGAAATCACAGCTAGAAGTTGCCCTGGCGATTTGGGAGAGGATTCGGAACCAGCGAGGGATAAGTATCTCCAGATGAACGGACTTACTAGAAAGAAGAAGCAGCCAAGACCTGCTGTGAAATTCGAAGATAGAGACGCGTAACTGTGACCACAGAAGCTGTTTTGGAGACGAAATTGTTGTGGGTTATCGACGCTAGAAATCACGTACTTTATACAGCGGCTACGTAGGATTGCTCGACGATTCATAAGACCGCCAGCGCCGGAAGATGCGGGACTCTTCTGTCAGGGCCTGTAAACCACCCTCTTCCGCATTCATATTCAATAGGGCCCAATTGCGACGCAGCGGAAGAACCAAACTATTGGCGTCGAGTTTTAGAGATTTGAAGACTGCCCATAATAGGCCCCTCTTTTTTCCCCCCTCCACTCCTTGGACCCATACCAAAACAGTCTTTTTTCCTTGCACCGCTCCCCAATATCAACCTAGTACATACTGTCCACCTATTCCTTATGTGTCTGCGATGTCAGCTTTAGAGTTCCAGGCTCTAGGCGGCAGGCCACTAGGAGTCGTAGCGGGCGAGATTGCGACGAGTCGATGGATGTCGGGTGAGCAGACTGTTTTTACGCCGTGTTCCGGTTCATAGTGCTGACTGCTTTCTTGTGTGTTCGTAAATATAGCTGTCGCTTTAGCCATATTATGTTATGATACCATCCTGACTCTGGGAGAGGAGGTTCGACCAATTTCCCCCAACCAGCATCCCCAACGCCAAGACATGACTAATGCCACAAGCAGATACAATTTATATGGCCAAAACGATGGAGTAGCATAAAAACACTCGCTTACATGGTAAATCTCTCTCAGAGTGGTACGCCGTGGGTCACTGAGACGTCCTCTCGAATCCAGAACCGCTTCGTGTCCTTCTCCTTCATAGTCACCAATGCATATGCGCTCAGCGCTATAAACCGCTCCTTTTCCAATGACTTGTGAGTATACGTACAGCCATCTCTCTTGATATCTTGGCTCATTCGTTATGCGATCAAAGCTGTGAAGTGCTTCTACTATCAACAGGTAAGGCGCGCCTAAATGTCTAATTCTTCCGTACATCTTCCCGCCTCTCATGCCTTTCTGACACGCCACACTCCTCTTTCCACAGGCGTTGCCGCATACCTCTCGTTCGCAATGTCCAACTGGATCCTCCTTGCAAGGACGCAGGCACTCCTCGGTGATTCCCGGATATTCAAGTACTGTATAATTGCTTTCTATATTGTCTCGTATTCAGCAACTGCTGTGTTGGTCACCAAATCATCAGTGGATCTCACGGGTGAGCAGCGACCATTATACTTTTTCTAGTCACCGAGAATTATGGTTCTGATCACACACGCCACCTTCAATTTTTCCTTTGCCCCTCCCATTCATTTGTCCAGATCGAATTTTCTATTCAAAAACTGTGCGTGCCTGTGGCATTGCCAGTCGTCCCCCAACTCTGGGTCAGTCCGTCGTCCCTTGCGCTTCTCCATCCCGATACCTCGGCGACACATTTTGAGTTGACATGGGGATGCTACAGGTTTTGTCTGGGTCGGACCAATGATTTTCGAGACCACAATATTCG